CATAAAATGTATAGTTATAAGTGTGAAAAAAATTTATGTAATTAATCTAAATTATTTAGCAAAGTCTACTTTTTTTTATAGATTCTTTTCAAACTACTTTTGACAACATTATTACTATTACTATTATTTTTTCAGGATACTAATGTTGCGGAGTGCACAGATAGTCATGGCTCTGATGCTAATTCATGGCCACGCATGGATAACGAGGCATAGGTTAAGGCTGTTGAAGGTTGCTCATCTAATTTCATGCCAGGGATTGGCTCCCAAGTAAATCCAAAGATGGTTTGTTTTATTTACAGGAAGAGACAACCCCGCAAAAACTTAATAGCAGCACTGATGGCGTCTGACTATGAGGAGACACAGGCAAAAGATCATGAGGAGTTAGAAAGACAACGCCAACAAATTGCTTTGATGCAACAGCAACTGGCTAATATGATAGAAGCTCAGAATAATATGAGCCAGACAATCGCACAATTTGTTGCAGCAGCTCTAGCCGCTCATGGCATCTCCCCTCAGGTAGGTCATCATCCAGTTGCCCCACCACAGCAGTCACATGGTCCTGGCTCAGGTCTTCGCATGAATTCAGCTTTCACCTACTCAATTGATTCTACACAAACCTCTCCTATGGTCCCTGAATATCAACAGCAGCGGCAGTTTCCGCCTCAAGATGATAATGCATGCCATCCTACTTTTGATCCAAACTATCAGGGTCCTTAGTTTTTTTACTTTCATGCTACGCACATTATCTACATACTTTGCATGGTTGGCTTTATTTCTATTAGTACTTTAAACTGTTAGCTTTAGCTTTTATTACGATATATTTTCTAATTTTGCTTGACCTCTAGTGATTGACCTCTAGTGATCATACTTCAAAACGTATAAAGTTTTGGACTACTTTGGAGGTTAATTATTATTAACTAAATATCGTGGGCATTTAAAACAATGGTGTGTGATTGCCATATATACTTTGTGGTTGTAGTTGTGGTTGAAAAGATATAATTGTTTTTAGCATACTAAACTTGTAAAATATATGTGTTTTTCATTGCAAATGCAGGTAAAAAAAAATTGGTTTTGATCATATGTATGGGGAAACTCTGTCAAAATTTTTTTAGAATTTATACCAACTAAAATGACCAAATTAAAAAAATCTATTGAATAAATTTCAAATTATTGCATTTTTTATCACAAAGTTATAGTATTGCAAATGCAGATTTAAAGAAAAAATACCTTTTATCATATATACGGGAGAATTTTGATAATTT